GAGCTAAGACATAGCACTAGATTATTTTTTTTTTCCAAAGGATTTTAAGATTTTTAGCATTTCACAAATCTGGTTTTCAGCCTTGATGTCTGCAAATAAGGTGATAAAGCATGGTTTATCAGCATGGTTACAGGCCTGAATTTACAATAAAGAGACATGACTCAAAAAAATTAACACAAGCCATCTCAAGTAGAAAACAGGCTCAAGTCATAGAAAACATAAAATAACCAGGACAAAGACCTGCTCAAAGCTGCCAAGAAGAAAAAAAAAAAATCCAACAGGAAACAGTAGCCATGACATGTCAATCAAGACACAAACGTATGCCACCAAATACTGTTCATTGTCCTACCTGTCAGTGTACAGCATGAGCGATGGAGTTGCCATCCTGCTCTGTTAATGCAACTACACAACAGAGAAACAAGAGCCTGGAGTCTAAGCTTCAAAAGCCGATAAGAGGAACAGAAAAATAGCAAAAACCCTGTGGTTAAACTCATAGATCAGCAAGTCCCACTGTATTTACGGCTTTTACTACAGAGTGTAAAAAAAGCCCTACACAGCCACTTTGTTCAGGCAGAGTGGAAAGGAGGGAGCTGCTCTCTCCTCTGTGTCCCCACCTCCTCAGTCACAAGGCTGACTTCTAAACAAATGGGATGTAAGGAACAGGAGGAATGAGTGTGAGAAGCAGGAATCTGAAGGGCAATCAGTAAATGAGTAACTTTTACTTGTGACGAATGAATAAAAACAGGGATGACGAGTTGAGTTTGAGGGAGCGCCAATTTAACACTTGACGTTACCTCATTAACTGATTAATTCAGTCAGTAAACATTGTGAGTGTGTTTGGAACTTGGATTCAATTTGAGGAAAACCAGAGCAGGCAGTGGATCATTTCATTCCCGTCATCCTACCCATCTAATAACTACAACCAAAACAAAATGTAAACTCGTGGTTTTGACTCAAATGCATCTTTCCTGAAATGTATATCAGGAAAGATGCATTCAGCAGAGAGGAATAGTACATTTCTTGCAAGTCAAACAGAATACGGAAATTCCAGGTTTGGCTTCAGTTCCTAAAAGAAATAAAGCGTCTGAAAATTAAAATAGAGTCTCTGCTTACATTTAAGTAAAACCTCCAGGCACCGATGACAAGAGGATTTAAACCAAGGTCATCTCAAATCATCACATTTTTGGCAGCTTTCATTTGCCAAGTGAACTCCTACACAAATACAGAAACAAGAAAAGGGCTACTTTCAGCTGCTCTATTACAACAGTGGGCAGTTCCACATGTTTGATTTGGCAGAGTCTTGCACCAGATGCCAAATATGAAATGATTCACACACTAAATCAATGAAATGTTACATTTCGGTAGCAGAGTAGATCTGGGTTAGAGGAAGAAAGAATGAGACCATGCGATCTGACACACGTGGCAACGGCACCAGCAGCCTCAAGCTGAAAGCGGTTTCAGTTGAGATTACACTTTTTCAAAACTCAATGCACACAACAATCTCTGCAGCATCTGTAGTGCTAAATGCAAAGCTATCCATGACAACACACTTGATCTGAAATAAAAGCCTGATCAAATACAAAAAGAAATCTTGGTAGACTAAAAGCGTTCCTCAGAACGTGTGCAAAAACCTGAAAGTCAAATGAAAGTAACTTTAGCATGTCTGTTGCCAGCTTATAAGAAGTTGAACCCGAGTATGATGATGAAACTTGTAGTGAGACATCAAAAACCTCATTAGCATTTTCTTCAGGCAATTAAGTAGTTGGATATGTTTCATGTTGGCTGCCGTTTTTTAACTTCGTTACTTACTACGAGGACTACGGTCACCATCCTGCTGCCTTTTCTGTGCACTTAACCCTCTAACTTAATCTTAAATAGTCTTAGTAAACTGCTGTTCCCCTAAGGTGCTCTATCTGTAACATGCACAAGAAGGAGGAAGAGGAAGGAACACCACACCTTTAGCTGCACACATTCAGAAATGGGAAGTAGCCCATTAGATGCAATGTCATGACAGTATCGTCTTCACAAACAGAGAAGCAGTGCACACTCTCTCAGTTATGCTGTTAAGGACTTTCCCTGCCAGAAAACAGAAAATTCCTCAGGATCTGAGATACTGGGTAGGGATGCACATGTCTGATAGTCGTATATAAGGGGACAGACTGCTTTGAATCAGCACAAATATGCTCCGCTGCAGGCCTCTAAAAATTCCAACTGCACATTTGGGTCACGCTGTGCATTTGTTGAATATTGAAGCAAACGGCCCCCTCACCCCCCTAAAGAAAGAAAAAAAGAAAACCCCAAAGATCCAAAAACACAGTATGAAGAGTACAAACAGGAGTCGCTAACATCAGCACAAACAACAGTGGTCAACAGACCAGTTGTATGTAACACATCTTTTTGACACTGGCCCCATCTGAAAGCAGCAACGTGCAACCACCACTGAAACTTCATAACTTCTACATGAAACAGCACAGAGGAAGCTGACGGCAAAGGGTCAGTCGTTTGAAGGCATTTCACAGTCTGTTTGCAGTAATTCATGTAATTAACAGCAAACTATAGTCAAGTGAGTTAACATGAGCCAGAAGCTCCAAAAACAGCACTTTCCTTGTTAGCTGCTCTCGCCCCTTTTCTCTTTATGTTCGTTTTAGCACTTGTGAAGCTTTTACTGCACCTACAGTAGAATATGGAGTTTCTTGTTAGACATACTCTGCATGTGTGGCTCTAAGAGCAATGCTTAGTGCTGAGAAACTACTGTGAACATAAATTAGAGCAGCAAATTCTCACTGAGCTTAAATTAAATCTGTTTTGTTCACCATGGTTTTGTTATTGTTTTACCAACAAATACAACTTCAGCACATACATGAATGAACTTTAGATCTATGTTATAAGGATGGGATCAGTAATAATTGGTCTAACTGGTCCATTTGTACTATTGAAACACGATGTGCTGGGAGCTGGTGTCAAAAGGTGTGAATAACAAGCAAACCAGGCTTTACCAGGGGTGTTCATATACTAGTCTGTATCTTAAACACAAGAGACAACATGTAAGTGGTAGCTAGGTCGCTGCTGTGCTTTAAAGCTGCTATCCGACTCATGCTTGGCCATGATTTGGATAAGCAGAGGTCAGGGTCATGATCTTTTATGTTCTGGGTGAGCTGCAATTTCCAAGAGTGGTGGAATGGGTCAGAGGGATATTTTGCTTAATGCACGTTTGTGAAGCAATCTTAAGCATACAAATTCTGCAAGTCAAAGAGGAAGTTGACAATCTAGTATTATCTCAGTAAGGCTGGCTACAATGCTGCTTTTTGTTTTTCTTCTATTTCTGCCCTATTATGGCCTCATAACATTTGTGATAGATCAATATTTCTGCCCACGTTTCATTATACTCCAGCATGGTGCAAAGATCTTGAAGAAAGTGTACAGCCCTTAATTTGTAGTTTACATCCAAAGAGACAGGCTCTTTAGATTTTTTTTTTTTTAAGTGTTCTTGGACATCAGGCTGTCTGGAGGTCTTTTAAAGTTTTTCCTTTGGACAACTGCTGCTTTTTCATAAAACAAAAGGCAGCCAATATCCAAAGAAGAGCTCTACAAATGTCCCTCCTAAATCCTGCAACTCCTCTAAAAGATTCTAAATTACAAGTAGTGGTGTGTGGATCACACCATATATCGATCGTGGCTCAAGAGTTGGCAGTTCGTCTTGTAACCAGAAGGTTGCCGGTTCGAGCCCGGCTCGGACAGTCTCGGTTGTTGTGTCCTTGGGCAAGACACTTCACATACTGCCTACTGATGATGGCCAGAGGGGCCGATGGCGCGATGTGGCAGCCTCGCCTCTGTCAGTCTGCCCCAAGGCAGCTGTGGCTACAGCTGTAGCTGCCTCCACCAGTGTGTGAATGTGAGAGTGAATGAATAGTGGAAGGCCCCGAAAAGCGCTATATAAATGCAATCCATTATTATTATGATATATACACAGATTCCTCTGATACCAGATATGCATGTTCTAGAATCGATTCTCACATTAAAATATTGATATTTTAGTAATTTAGTGATAAATTTGTACTTCATTAACAAGAACACAGTGGAAAGTAACCGTTATTGGGATCGTCTAAATGATTGGTAGGAACAACTCCTTCCTGTCGTAGTGAGATGCAAAATGCTGCAATATAAATGTGTCACGGCTTACGTGTTGACAATAAGGGCTGATTGCAAACGGAGTCATGTACCAGCTAAGATGAGGTTTGTGGCACATGTGGCAAGACCACAAACAAAAATAAATCATAGCACAGAATATGATGACTTGATGATGAGAGGGACAGGTGATGCTAGGGCGAGACAGAGTCCTTTGGTGCTACAGGCACCATCTTGGTACAGAGACAGAAAATGTGGGGAGGTGTACCACTGCTGCCGATTTTTGAAAAGTGACTTATGTCTAGGCTTAGTTTTTGTTTTGATGTTTAAACAAGTTGAATTCCCCGCACCCTTAAAACTATGGAATCACATTTGTTCTTGTTTGTTGTTAATTTACATTAATAAATATGGTAATGAAATAAATACATGCCTGAATGAGTAATTAACTTTAGATGTTTACCCTGAGATTACCTCACATGAATTCAATTGACCTAGATTTGGTCAAGGTTGTAGAGTGCATCGTTGACAGTGGATTATACAGGTTAGGTATCATCAAAATATATTATCTATATGCAAAAAACAGCTACTGTAGGCTTTGAAAAAATAAAAACGCATCCAATAAAAACACAGCTCAAAAATATTTCATGTATAAGACAAATAGATAATAACGTGAGTCTAAAAACTTTCTCAGTTGTATTATTATTTTAAATCATTTGTTTCAAATGATTGTTAATTGAATATTCCAAAATGTAGGTACTGACTTTACAGGTTTTTTTATTTCTTATATGATAATTGTTCATAATTAAACAAGAACAGATAGTCTGTGGGGGTGTGGTGGGGTGTTACAAATACAAAGTACAGCACCATGGACTCACCTTGCAAATAAACTTGCTAATGGTCCCAATTTTCTCTGCCTCCCATCCTCTTCTTTCTGCATGACTTCTGCCGCCCATAAGTCTCTGGAGGTTCCCGCTGAAGACGACAACACCACTTCTGAAAAGTGGTTAGTGCTGCTGTCGGCGGTCTCCAAAGTGACAATCGCACTGGAGTCAGATGTAACTGTGAAATCCAGGATGTCTTCGTTGGAGACCGACAGTTCTGTGCTCATGCTTGACACGCTGCACACAGAGATGTCATCACTACGGTTTAATGCTCCGCCCCCAACACCAGCTCCCATGGTGGAGGATAATCTGAGGGTGGGGCTAAAGAGGCGGATGTTGTCATAGCCACTGCGGGGAAAGGTGGAGGATTTTCGTACAGTGGTGCCATCAGAGGGACCATTGTCCAGAGGTAATGTGGCGGGGGTGTCGTGACTTGATTCCAGCATAAGGCCTCCGTCGCTTTGCCTTTGGTGACTGTGAAGGAAGGGCTCCGGAGGATTGATCTCCAGAGTGGGGATACCAGAGTCCTGGGAAGTCAGGCTGTGGTTGTCTGGCTCCAGGTCTGGGTAACTTTTCTGTGGGCTGCTATAACAGACAGTAGTGGGCGAGCAGGATGGCTTGTAGATGGGCAGGACGGCGTTGCTGTATGTGGCCGCTCTGGCCTCATGGCAGTGATTGCTGATGTGATCATTTAGGTGAGAGGCCGTCGTGTCTTTGACCACAGAGCCATTCTCCACTATGGTTCCTCCAGGCATAACTGTAAGAAACAGAAATTTCAGTTTAACAACATAAATATATTTATTCACCTCCTGATAACTAGTTTGAGCCAATTTGCTGTAGTCTTTCATAAAAAGTACGTTAAAAAAAAGTGACAATTCCATTGTTACATTGTTGAAATAAAGAAGCACAGAGAGTGCAAACTTCTGGCAAGGCAGCTCATTCTCTGGTCTCTTTCTTTGTTTTTTAATACACTAAGGTTAAAAATAATTAGTTCTGTTAAAATTAAAGCGTTAATGCAAAGTAATCCGCCATCACGGTCAACACGATTAAAATTTTTAACCCTATTAATGCATCTGGAGTGCAGAATGATTCAAAATTTCCGAAATGTTTCTGTCAATGCATTTTGGGCAGTTTGTCCAAGTAGAGTTGCCTTCACACATGTGCAAATGTGCAGTTGATCTGGTAGTGACGGGCAGCTGAACCAAACAACTCAATATAGAAGATGATAAACGCACGTTTGAATATTAAAAAAAAATAAGACTGAACAGTCAACCGACATAGTATTATGCACATTGTGCAAGAAGGAATTCTCTTTTCACCGAAGCACTTCCATCTTAAAATATCACATCGACGTGAAGCATACATTAGTCGTGGATGCTGCTAGGACTAACGCGTCACCAAGCTTGCAACAAACCACTCACAGAGCATCGGGGACTCGGTAACTCTACCTCCCAAATACTGACTGGCACAATTGCCAAGTGGATTGCAACAAACTGCAGGCCTATTAATATCTTTGGGAACATGCGCTTTACATAGCTTTGGTTCCTCGTTCCTCGTTGCCTCCCCAAAAGTGACAGAAAGAGAGCGGATAAATGTTTACAGAGTTTTTTGTTAACATGAATGTTCAAGGTCTTGATGCATTCTCAATCATCCAGGAAAATAAATCTCCAAAAGTTGATTCTGTTCATCTGGACGCAGCGTTTTGTGGGAGAAAACGCTGCGTCCTTCTGTGGGCTGGTTTCAGTCATTATGCAAATGTACTGTTTATAAGAATTGGGGAAACCTGCAGTCAGCTGAGACTGAAGAAGTCACTTGGATGAGTGACGAAATGTTTCTCCCACAAAACGCTACGTCCAGATGAACAGAATCAACTTTTTGGAGATGAATGTTCAAGATAAATAAACATGTTAAGTACACATATTTTCCCTTTTTTCTTGAATCTGTTTGCTTGTGCAAAATTAAATGTGATTAATATAGAATAAAAATAAATGGTATTTAATTGTGATTAATCAAAATTAATCCAGAGTAACCCTGTGATGAATCTGATTAAACATTACCTATTAATTTTCAATTCAATTCAATTTTATTTATATAGCACCAAATAACCTCTAGGTACTTGCACAGTAGATCATACAATAACAAATACAGAAAACAAACAAACAAACAAACAAACAAACAAACAAACAATCATATGACCCCCTATGAGCAAGCACTTTGGCGACAGTGGGAAGGAAAACTCCCTTTTAACAGGAAGAAACTTCGAGCAGAACCAGACTCAAGGGGTGAGAGAAGGAAAACAGGATAAAGACATTCCTATTAGTATGTAGGTTTTTTAAAAAGTTGTATTTCACTGGTGAGAACCAGTTTAAGCATACATTCTTTGTGTTTACTCTCCATTTACTTCATTATATTGTATAAATGTCAGTTACAAGCTTAAATATAAAGTTGAAAAAATGTAATTGCAACCAGGCTGTTGATCAAGTAATTGCAATTAATCGCGAATAATTACAGAAAATTGTGCAATTAATTAGTTATTTTTTTACTCTATTGACAGCACTAAGAATAATGTAATATGGAGTCAAATTGATAGAAAAGCAGTGCATTATAAAAGTGAGATCAGAGGTGAAATGTGACATGGCATTTGGATGCAAACTATAATGTGACATTTAGTATCCCCATATACCAGTTCCAAATGTTGCCAATATGAACAGAAGGCAGTAAAATTTTAAACAGTTAAAGATAAGACAGTTTATGAAAGTTTGACCTTATTTGACCTTGAAGAGGTCAGAGATCCAAATGAGATTGCAAAGGTGGGAAGCGGCCTTTCTCCAAACAGCTTGTGTGGAACATGGCTTTAACTTTCTGCAGTTAAATCACCGTCCTGCAGCATCTACATACCTATGCATGTGACAAATAATAAAGAACCTAGAACCTATTCGTGGAGGAATTTCTTAATTTCTCTTTCAGCTTGTTGAGGTTCTGGTTGCGCTCTGAATACAAGTTCATGCACATTTTTCCTTAATGTGAATTTCTCTATATACAGACACCAACAGATTTTTGGTTTCCAAAGATTTGTCACAGCTAATCACCATCTTATCAAACGCATTGCACACAAATGCCAATTTAAACCCATTCAATGGCAAACTGATAGGAAACTCATCATCATATTTTCATTTTATTGGCGCCTTGATGCAATAAAATCCATTTAATAACAGCAACTGACTGCACTGTCTTCAAAGCAACTAGGAAAATAAATCTCAAGCTCACTGCACACAGTTGGAATACCTTTGGTTATGTCGTGGTCCCACACCAAAGTTTTCCCTAGTATGACTGCACCATAACTGAAATGTTTTAATTTGCATTTTGTTTAAAGAGGCTATATAGGGGTCATTCGACAGCTCAGTGTTGTTATTCGTGGGCTTTAGCCAAAATGATCCCACTTCTCTCCTTCACAAACAGAAAGTTTGAACAGTATGTGAGTGAAGCTTCTGTGCTTACAGAACCTTCAGCTCAAATAACCACATCTATGATATCGCCTCTCAATGACATCATCAAGGCCCAAGAGTAAGAAGAAAAAGAACAACCTAGAAGTGTCTAGATCAGTCTGAGCTTTTGGCCCACAGGACTTACTTGTACACGCGTATACTTGCACTTTGTCTATGTTTAATACGGGCATCCAACCTTTCAATAAACACCTGCTCAATCAAATAACCACAGCTTTATTAGAATTAATGGGCTAGGCAGAAAAACTGCAGAAAAGTTATTTTTGACTGTACATCCCATTGATATTGGTAGCTTTAATACAATAGGATTAAAGGTTTCCTCTAATTGACATTGGATACACGAGCATGTGAGCCTAACTAGGTGAAAACTAATCCTAAAGTAACCCGACTGTAACTGGAGTCTGCAGTGTAATGTGAACATGTTTTCTGCTGGGCTCCATCATGTTCCAACCCCAGCTTAGAAGCTAGTGTGTCTAAGCTCTAAGCTGCATTAGCAGTGACAGGAGAGAATTTCAGGAATCCTTTCATTAAACCAATTCTGATGCGGGCGGGGTGTTATCTCCTGCACTCTGGCAACAAGGGAAACTCTCATAAACTTCAGGGCACACATGGTGGGTTTAGTGTTCCTACTACATAACTCAAATTTAATCACACAGAAATAAACGACAGGCATGTTAAGACAGTAAACAGGTTACGATTAAGCCAACCACGCCCTAATCAGTAAAAATAAATACCCTTTCAAAGTCAAAACCCTAAAAGAGTTGAGTGCTCTCCAACGCACTGACACACGAAGCCAGATTTTTACCCAAACTCTAAACCCTGACCTGCAGGTAGTCATGTGAGCCAGGCAGACTTTGTCCCAAAACACAGCAACAGGTTGTGCCACTGTGGAAATCAAAATACAAGTAGAGGAGAGGTCACCAACAAATGTCAAAATTAATGATGATGACTTTACGGTCATTATTATTAATACTGCTATGTATTCTGAAAATATTAAAAAGGTCTTAACAGCTAAGCACTGAAATGTAAAAGCTGTGAAGCATGCGGCCGCACCAGAGTTTTGTTTTTTCTTGTAAAAGTAATGAAACAGAAACAACAAGATTGCCTTCATTGTCTGCCCAACTTAGCCGCCTATTTGAATACACACACACACACACACACACACACACACACACACACACACAAATCTGGTTCTTCAAGTCATGATATGATGACTCTATGGACACCATAAGGAAATGCAATATTACGCCACTATATCCCTGACTAACAGCAGAAATTGTGGGCCAACACTTTCACAAGCAATGGAGCCAGTTTTCAGTTTACCTGTATTTGTTTAAAAGCACATCACGTGTTATGGCAAAACCCAATTCCAAATATCTGTGTCAGGTATATGGAGGATTCCAGTTTTCGGGAGTGGTTACAAATATTTATTCCATGCCAATATCACTTTCTACAAAATTGAATTAAAGTTCAAGTTTTATTTATTCTGAAATGATGTGCAGAACTGAAGACTAGCCATAGCAATTTGCAAACTCACTCAGTGACGCTTGATATTTAGATATGTGACGAAATAAAAAGTGCAAGTGCTGTTTAATGTGTAATTAATCTATGCCGAATTCATGCCCGTATCTATAAAACACGAATTATTCAACTGGTCATAGTTAAACATCTGTGTAAATTCGCGATATTACATAATTTTGATTTTTAAAAGTTTTTCTAATGTAGTTTGGTGTGACATACGTCACCAGGGAGGGCAGCACACTCAGTGTCAGGGTCACGGTGAACATGTCATGTTGTCTAACCGCGATAAATACACAGAACTGAGACCGTGCTCGACAGTAACGTACCACAGTGGTTCTCCCTCCGGTCCTGTGTGTCGTGGGCCGTGTTGGCCATGCTGCCGGTTAAAGCTACAGGTGGGTGACAGGTAGGCGCTGGCCGGAGTGGTCCATGATGATGCTGTGACTAGTGCTGCACCACCATCAACTCCCAGCCTCCTCAGCGGAGCTTCGCCCAAACGAACAGCACTGAAGTCAGCTCATTTGTTGTCGAATAAATTCCCCGGAATTCAGTCGGAATGCGGCCAGTGAACACACAAACGCCGTGTTGAACCGCACTTGCTCGCCAAGTGCACTTGCCGCTGACGCCAACTCACTAATTTCACGAGCGCTTCCTCAAATGGAACCAACACTTTTTAAAATGAGAGAGACATGTTGGTTTAGCCTTCCCGGCATCACAGCAGGACAGGAAGTGCTTCTCCGCTCTTTTGTGAATCATAGAAGCAAGCGCATTTCTCAAGTTTCTCCGGAATCGTTAAGATTTCATACCTGTGTCGATGCTTCTGCCGCCATTTTAAAACAAACTTGTACGGAGAGTGCGGTCTAATCGAGTAAAGAGTGCTCCCTGTCGATGGTTCACCTGTCTGGACCTGAAGGCATTATTAATCGACTTCGCAACCTGCGGGCTTATTATTTATATCACTGACCGTATGTTACTTCTACAATATAGACGGTTGTATGACGTGGAAGGGTAGTCCTCCCAAAATAAACAATTACATAACATTTTTAAAGTCGGGTTAATGTTACAAACATATTTTATTAAATGTATGTTCATATTAAAATCATATTGAGCCAATATCAACAGAAGTATATTCAATAGCATCGTAAACTGAAATTTCACAAATTGCTATAATAACTGAGCACCTGCTTATCAAATTGTGAAAACTGTCATTAGAAGTGCTATAGGCCTGAAACTTTTAAGAAGATATACTCTGTATAAATAAATTACTAATAAAGGTTTTGTGCAAAGCAGCAATTATTCATCCAAACTCAAAAAATATCAAGGTTAAAATATTAAGTGTGTCCATACTTTTGGATTGCAGTTTTATTAAGTGCAATTTCTAAAATTAATCTAAAGTGTAGGTGGCTGGCCTTTCACTTAGAGATAAGGTGAGTTCAGCCACCCGGGAGGAGCTACTCATCCGCCACATGAAGTGGTTCGGCATCTAATATGCCAGCATGTTTTCTGTACATAGTAAATTGTTAGCAAATGCATAATCATAATAAAGTAATATAGTGAACTTTAATTATTACTGCTACTATTATTAATGAAAGCTTTTATTTTGATTGTAGACATCAATATTATAAAAAGCTACACTTAAATGCTATGCTCAGGAATATCAACCTGTTTTCTGCATTGTTGTGGTGTAACCCCTCCCACCATGTCGCTAGCCTCCACCATTTTAACGAGAAGGCACAGATCAAGTCTGACAGAAGCAACACTCACACATGGGATAATCATTTATCTCGTTTGGTCATCTTATCAACACATTGGGTTTGTTTGACAACCACAAACATCACATTCATTTTATTCTGTTACATTAGAAATATAAAATCTTAATGTGTATGTGTGGATAATCTCATAATGTTAAATATTTAGTCACAATTCTTCAGTGCAATGGATAAATTATTTAAGGCTGTTGCTGTTATATTAGCCTTTCAAAAACCAGCTAATAATGTGTTGGAAAACCACCTTTGGTACACAAAAGTATACAGGATCTTAAAAACATTGTCCGCAAGAATAAAAGCTGCAGTCTGACATATGCTATAAATACTTAAGCAGTTGGCAGTGCCTCACCTGCTCTCTAGTGTCACCGTGAGGCTGACGAGCTAAAATGTAACGCTGCTCCTATTTCCTTTCAACACTCTAGATCAGGAGTGGGCAACTCCAGGCCTCGAGGGCCGGTGTCCCTGCAGGTTTTAGATGCGTCCTTGATCCAACACAGCCGATTTAAATGGCTAAATTAGCTCAACATGTCCTGAAGTTCTCCAGAGGCCTGGTAACGAACGAATCGTTTAATTCAGGTGTGTTGACCCAAGGTGAGATTCAAAACCTGCAGGACACCGGCCCTCGAGACCTGGAATTGCCCACACCTGCTCTAGATAATGCAAAGACACAGGAACCTACAGACTGCATTTTGGTTTAATCCTTTATTATGTGTTAAGAAAATCCACAATGAAACAAAAATAATTTACTCAGGGTGAACATGAAATAAGAACACAGCTACGCAGGATACATAGGGTTCAGGAACATAGAGAAGAGGGAGGGCAAAGGAGCATCATCTACTTGGGAATGAACAGACGAGGAAAACTTGGGTTTTCTGTGCTGGATATGCTGTTCAGAACACAGCGCAGTTGAAAGTTTGCTTGTAAGAAGTCTCTCCGAACACAAACCCTCTCTGAATGCGTTTACTCGTCACGTTTTGTTTCAAACACAGCCTATCAAAATGGAAGAGTTAAATACAGAACTCCCAAGTAAGTGTTTTTTGTGATTTCTTGCACACATTCACTGACAGTTTCACACACACACAGTCATAGCATTCTTTCAATCACTTTAACCTCACTCGTAAGTTTATTTTTTTTACCCATAATAATCCAACTAAAAAAGATGGAGTGTGATGTTTGCATGCTGTATTTTTAGAGACATTCCACAAGTTTGTTTTTTCTGTCCCATGTGTTCCTCACTCAAAAGCGATCCACATGCAAAAGTAACTAAAGGACATTTCTCCATATTCTCTTCAATGTTTCCATGCGCCAAGGTATTGCATAGGACTTGGGGCTCGTGGGACTCCCTTCCACATTGCTTATTACAATGGCTTAATTCTTTTTTTCCCCCTTCCTAAAACTACAGCTCTAAATTAATGACAGTCACCTCTGCTGTTTGGAAAGAACTCCTGTCAATAATTTGTTCAACATTTGAAGAAAATGTTTTACATTGATGCATCAATGCACTGCCACAGGTCTGAGTGTAGACTATGCAGTATGCTTATATTAAAAAATTCCTGAGTGTCTCAAAGAAAGGTGACAAGACCCTGAAGTTAAGTACCTTCCATTCAGCTACTTGGGGGGCCCTTTTTTAAAAATCAAGCGGCATTGGACTAAAACTTTGGACCTTCAAATCTTAATTTTCTACAGAGCCATGTCAAAGCCATGCCCAAAATAAAAACACCTTTACCTGCGACAGTGCATTACTGTGTACACTGCTGACATGTACCCATGACAGAGGGATGATTTTGGTAATCTGTGCTTCAGTTTGGGGTATGGTATGACAAAAAAAAAAAAAAAAATTAAATATGAAAATAAAAAGAATATATACACACTGCTACTATCCTCAAATGAGAAGACAATAAAAGATCAGACAGAAAAACACCTTTTAGGAAACATGCTTATCTGCAAATATTTTGGGGTTTCAAAAGCAAAGGTCACACAGGGAGGCACATGTGCCACGACAAATTGGTAGCCAATTGGATCAGGGTTTTAGTTCAAGCTAGGCCAAATTAATGAAGGTGAAGCTCACCATACACATATTTTTAAAAAAATCAAAAAAAAAAAATCAACAACCACTCATTCTGAACCAGTAGTTTCACAAGTTCTATGTCAACACACACACACACACACACACATTACTTAATATTTCATTTCAACATGATATAGTGAACACCAAAAGATAAAAATAAAATAAAAACAAAACCCATATGGAGAACAAAAAGCATTTGTACCTTAGTGTAGTTACGCCTTTTTTTAGATTGAACATTTGCCCCACCACTTACACTGCTATCAATCTGTTTAGCTGCAGCAGGGAGAACCAGTTTTGGCCTTTCCGAGAATGGATAGAAAATGAAGACATGCTACCTGCAAGTTCTCCTTCTGCTGTTACAGGAGAGTAAGACAACAGGCAGGTTTCATTAAAATAAAAATCCAGCCAAATTAACCAGGAAGGGCAAGTTTTCTATTAATTTTCTTATAGGTTATCTGAGGGACAACAAATAAAATTTTTGTCATCTTTAAATCAAGAGTCATATAATAAAACTGCAACTTCAAAATATTTTGAACGTATTTATAGCACCAATAGTGTGTACCATTAAAATTACAAAAGAAACAGAGAGACCCCCCCCCCAAAAAAAAAACCACCCACACACGCTCTCTCACACAACCTCCCACCCCAAATAAACAAATAAACAAACACAAAAAAAACAACAACAACAACATATCTCATTCAATTGCAATGCAGGTCTCTGGAGAGAAAAACAAAACATTAAAAGAAAACAAAGACTGTAGTCATGTCTTATCATGATGGGTTATTACCCCAAATCACACGTTGCCCCCCAGTGTCTTTTACAGCATTGCATTTTCAAGTAGATTATTAGTATTTTTTGCCAAACAAAAAACTCATTTGATTTCCTTATTTTTATTCATTTGTTTAATATTTTTGCGACTCACAAACCACACTATATCTACTGCTGGATTCTAAAAGGACTATCACCATTCCCAAAAAAAAAAAAAAAAAAAAAATCTCTCACATGGGGAACAGAGATTCAGAATGAAGCTGCACACATTCTCTACTTCACATTCAGAAAGTCATCCAAACAAACTAAACTTTTAAACTGAACTCTTAAAAGTCTTATGGTGTCATTCAAAGAAAGAAAATAATGTTGTATCGTCTTTCTGAACACAATCTTGTAAGTAGAGGATGCGATAGCAGTCGTTTTCACACAACTACAAAGGAGGAGTGAGGCTGGACAAACATACCGAACAACCATTCAAAGACCACCAGCTACCAGAGACCTAATTCAAAAAGCAAAAATGGTGGTAACAAAATGGACAACAATAGAACAAAAGATTGTCCCTCCTGATAACTGTGAGACTTGAAAAGGGACCAGTGTACAAAAGAATCAACCCAAACAAATTAAAAAAAAAAAAAAAAAAAAAATGCCTAAATGCTTAAAAATGCACATCCGCACATGGCATCACTCAAACACAGAACATATTTTTTTAATTTTCCTATTTTTGTTGATCCGATTGTTGATTACACAAGGTTTTTTTTCTCCTTTTTTTTCTCCTTTTTTAAAGTTAGAAAATGAAAACCAACAGGGTTTATGCATTGTGGGATTTGGAGGGGCGTCTCAGAAAAAAAATGAGCCTAAATTAGGTTTTCCAGCTCTGAGATGACCCTGAATCATTGCTGGTAGAGAGGTCCAGTCACAAAAGGAGAGGAAGAAAGGTTTCCTCTCTGCAACAGGTAGAATATTCAAATGTTGCTGCTCCCTGGAGAAGGACAGAAAGAAAAATGGTCAGATTCTTAACTAGAACTAGACTAATGCTACAAGCAGAATGTCTCTAGATACCAGAGTAGCAAAATTGTAAAAGAAACAACTACAGTTTCGGTAAAGCAGACAATTATATGCTGAGAGAAAAACTTAATTCCAATAATCTCCCAAAAATAAAATCCCCTGTACAAGATCTTCAAAAAACTTGTCTCAAAGTCAAGTTCATTGAGATTCAAACTTGTCCACGTGGCCTCATTCTCAATTATACACAAACTTAGCAGCCCACGCCACCCACCCAACCAACGGGGTGATGACTATACCCCATCAGACTTTTACAGCTGAGAGGTAAAAAGTTGTTTCATGTGTTCTACACAATAATGGCATGAATA